TAAAAAACTCATGGCGTGGATTATCTTATGCCACTGTACTAGGTAATAAGTACGCTAAATATTACCTAATCTTCTATATACACTACATTTACATACACTAATAATGTAATGTAAAAGTAACAGTTTTTTTACTAAACGCATATAAAGTACTCGTATATACGGTACATATAAAAAATACCATTTTTAAAAATTTTGTCTATCTGTCTGTTTCTTCCGGCTAATCTCCAAAATGGCTGGACCGATTTTGATGGGACTTTCACTGGCAGATAGCTGAAGTTATATGAAGTAACTTAAGTTACTTTAATGAAAGAAAAATAATTAGGGTAATAATTAATTAATAATTGCCGTATGTAAGCGGCGTAAGGTAACCACCAACACATTTCGTGCCATGTATGTCGTGAGAGACAACTATGAGGAATGCCAGAAAAATGTTAAGACTATCGATAGATGAAAGCATTACGAGTACATCTCGTTGACGCCGGAAGTAAAATACTCAGAACGGCGATGATTTGCAGCGACAAAGGCGCGAGACATCTGGTACCCACAGCGATCAATCTTTTTTTGTAGAATAAGGGTGACAAACGAGCACACAGTCCACCTGATGGTAAGTGAATGCTTTGGCCCATAGATAGATATCTATGGGCCTCACATTTATCCTCAATTAAGAATCAAAATGCAGATACGTTGCCACCCGTGAGAACTAAGATGGAATGCCTTGTTTCCAGTTAAAAGGGTCTCCGGTTCTCTACTATCACCATACAGAACACACAAGCACTAAGCTGCTATTTTACGCTGGTATTCGTAGCGTCGTCCTACTCCGGTCGAGCCAACCTATTCGTGCTAAAACCATATAGCTGCAGCGTGGCTCTATCACGTAACGATATGCCCATAATAACATAAAGCTGCTGTATTTACATAATACGTGCGTATCAATACATCCACCTTACGATGTTATGTTTTATATTAACATGTTGCGTAAAGAAAACCATAAAACTCCATCATCAAAGTTTTGACCCAGAGGCTACGTGATACGAAGATTAGTGATAGCCTGGGCTATCTGCAACATATAAAATTTTAACAGCAACATTGTACAATAACAATAACATTGTCTTTTTCACTTTGTTCACTTCACTACAGTACCGGCAACATTAAAGAATATTTTTGTTAATCCGTAGAGGAACACACAAAAGCACATAAGATGGAAAATTCATCAGCATAACTTGGTATAAGTGAAAATCTTAAAATATTAAAATTATTTATGAAAAAAGGGTGTAAAAACTAAAGTTGTGAGCATCCCCTCTAGTCCACTACTAACATTAATTGTAATATGTAATGTTTTATATTATTGAGTGATGTAATTAACGAAGAACTTGTATATGGCTGAAAGTTTCATTATCTATGTATGTTAATATCCATGTACATGTTTTTGGCTTATGTTATAATATACTGAGTGGCAAGATAAGAAATAGTGAGATAAGGAAACGTTGTGGTCTGAAAGAAGATGTAGTGACAAACATTGAGAAAGGTATGCTGAGATGGTTTGGCCATGTCGAGAGAATGAATGAAGAACGATTGACGAAAAAAGTGTATAAGGCGAGTGTGAATGAAATTGCTGGAAGGGGTAGACCTAGGCGGACATTTCAAGACCAAATCAGGGACGTCTTGAGAAAAGGCCAGGTCAAGAGCACCCAAGGCCAGGTCCTGAGCCACCTGCATCCATGGACTTCCTGCACATCTCACCAGGTTGTCACTCAATCTAGCGGGGGGACACCCAACACTTCGCCTGCCGGTACGAGGCTGCCACTCGAGAACTTTTTTCCCCATCGGTTGTCCGTTCTTCGAGCTATATGGCCGGCCCACTGCCACTTCAGCTTCCTAATCCGTTGGGCTATGTCAGTCACTCTGGTTCTACTGCGGATATCCTCATTTCTGAGTTTATTACGCAGAGAAACTCCGAGCATAGCCCTCTCCATAGCTCGCTGAGCGACCTTGAGCTTCCTCATCCGGCCAGCAGTGAAGAACCACGTCTCAGTTCCATATGTCATCACTGGCAACACGCACTGGTTGTACAGTCTCGTTTTCAAATTTTGAGGTATACCTGACGAGAAGATGTGCCGTAACTTCCCGAACGCTGCCCAACCGAGTTGAATCCGTCGATTGACCTCTCGGTCGAAGTTGGACTTACCTAGTCGGACTATTTGTCCCAGGTAAACACACCCGTCAACAATTTCGAGCTTAGTGCTCCCAACAACTACTGGCATAGGTGTGACATGGACATTAAACATGATCTTTGTTTTGTCCATGTTCATCTTAAGACCTATCCGTTGGGAAGCACTATTGAGGTCATTGAGCATAGTGCTTAGGTCCTCCAGCGATTCTGCCATAAGAACTATATCGTCGGCAAATCGAAGGTGAGTGATGTACTCGCTATTGATGTTGATACTGTATCCTTTCCAGTCCAGAAGCTTCAAAACGTCCTCCAATGCAGCGGTGAAGAGTTTCGGGGATATGACGTCACTCTGTCTTACACCTCTCTGCAATTGGATCGGTTTCATACTCTGGTTCTGTACTCGGATAGCCATCGCAGCTCTACTGTACAAGCACTTCAGCACTTCGATATACCGACAGTCAACTTGGCACCGCTGAAGGGACTGCAGCACCGCCCAAATTTCGACGGAATCAAAGGCTTTCTCATAGTCCACATAAGCCAGACATAGTGGCAAATTGTACTCTTCGGACTTCTGTAAAATTTGCCGAAGGGTATATATCTGGTCTATGGTGCTAAAGCCTTTTCGGAAACCGGCTTGTTCGGGAGGCTGGAAGTCGTCAAGTCTGCGCGCGAGACGATTCGTAATGACTCTCGAAAACAGCACGTAGACGCGGCTCAGAAGGGAAATCGGTCTGTAGTTCTTCAAGAGAGCGTTGTCACCTTTCTTGAAGAACAAGACCACCGCACTTCTGCTCCACGCCTGCGGTGTAATGCCACCATGGAGGACGGAATTAAAGAGCTTCTGAAGGACTTCAAGTACCGGTTTTCCACCCGCTTTCAGAAGCTCCGCTGTAATCCGTAGTAGAACCAGAGTAACCGACATAGCCCAACGGATTAGTGGGCTGAAGTGGCGGTGGGCCGGCCATATAGCTCGAAGAACCGACAACCGATGGGGAAGAAAGGTTCTCGAGTGGCGGCCTCGTACCGGTAGGCGAAGTGTAGGGCGTCCCCCCACGAGATGGAGTGACGACCTGGTAAGACATGCAGGAAGTCGATGGATGCAGGTGGCTCAGGACCGTGCTTTGTGGCATTCTTTGGGGGAGGCCTATGTTCAGCAGTGGACTTGTGAAGGGCTATAATGATGATGATAATGACTTACAAAATTAAACATAATTCAAGAATAATTATGCTCTTATAAACATAGATTGTTATTGTGCCGGCTAGTAACACATTTTTTTTTACATATTACAAGCAAATGCTTTTTACAATCCCACGTATTGGTAAGTGATGATGAAACCCTAGATGGTAAACAATAGTATCTTGGCGTAATTAAGGCTTATTCACTCTTGCCTTGAAGACACCCAGATTGTAATCGACGGAAAGACATATGTTCGTCTGCAAATTATTATTTTTAATATTCCACTTCCTTGTTATACGCATTAGGAAAGACGAAGCATACCATTTGGTTTATGCGTATTTAATATCATTTATGCTGAATACACTTTAAGATGTTTACATGGAATTATCTTATTTAAGACGTTTGCGTAACTCGCTTCCCATTCCTACTAGAATTTTACTGGCACAGTCCTTATCCCTATCCTTGATTATGCTGATGCATGCTACTCCAATCTTACTGAGGATCAATTAAATAAACTTAAGCGTCTTTAGAATTTCGCTATTAGGTTCATATTTGGCCTTCGCAAATATGATCATGTTTTCGAGTACCGTATTAAGCTCAAGTGGCTCCATATCAGACTTCGTCGGAATACTCATATTCTATCTCTACTGTACTGTGTACTATTCGATCCTAAAACACCGAGTTATCTTAAAGAAAAATTTGAGTCCATGGGCGCATATAAAGATCATTCCAGAATAGCTGATAAAGTTATATTGCGTATGCCTGCTCACAACTTAAAATTTTTTCATTCCTCCTTTTGTGTCAAAGCAATCAAATTATGGAACTCGCTTCCTTTAACAATTAAGAAAGCCCAAAGCATTGAGTCTTTCAAAAATATGGTTAAAGATTATTATTTAAATATGTGATCTACTTAATATATTTTATTGTCATATCTACTTTTCTTGATAAGGTTTATGTAAATGATATATAGTTATAATGTATAACAGAAATTTTTATAAATATGTACTCGTATGTATTCTATATATGTATATTATGTTCGTATATGTGTATATGTATGTGTGTATGTATTTATGTATTTGTGTGTTTATGTGTATATGTACATATAATATTATGTATTTGATTACTGCATTGTCTTATATACTGTATATATCTTGTACTATTAATATAAACTTTTTATGTACTATTTATGCACACCTATATATTTAAATGAAAATTATCTCCTTCACCAAGGTTTGCCTGGAAGAGATCGCTGTTTACCAATAAGGCCACCCAATTGTATATTCATTTATAAATTTAAGTTTGCTGTGTTGTGTAGTATTTTGTGTGCAATAAAGAGTATAAATAAAAAATAAAAAAATTAATTGTATCACATACTTATCCTTATCGTTTAATCTATTGATAGGTTTTTTAGGAATTAGCTAGCTGGCGTGCATTACTTAAATATTGATCCACAATCATTGCGCTAGACATTTTACATACATATATAAACAGTTCTTGGACTTATTTGAAGATCAAATAAACTTATGCATCAAAAACTAATAAAAATGTTATTTTTTCAGACAAATGAAAAAAAATCATAATGTTATTTCTTCTCTTTTTCTCAGTAACTGATACTATAAACAGTAAAACTATAAATTATGTTTTGTTTCACAGATGGTAACGTGCGACAACGAAGGATCATCTCACAGCGGATTCCACTTGGGCAATCGCGATGATGATTCGCGTCGATCGCGTGCGCCCAGTGTATCCTCCCTATCTCTATATAAGCAAAAGATTGATGCACTTTTCGATGACAGTCGGTCAGTTACAAGCTCACCTCAGTACGGACCTATGGCAGACATAAAGAGAAGGGACAGTAAGGTAAAATATCGACGTAAACATTCACTGCATTACGCAAAGAAGCAAAGTTTACGATTCTGTTGGATAAATTATTTATTCTTTTTATTTTTTTAAGGTTAGCTTAAGACACGATAGTAAAGCGACGATGTACGAAGATGAAAACAACTATTGTCAAACAAAAATTAAAAAAATAAACAACACGGTGCAAGACCGTATAGAAAAAATGTTTGCAGATATGGCGGGGGAACCTAGACAAACAAATGAGAATATTGGGGTTCACATATTTAGTGTGCATTATTTAGGATCCACACCCTTACAAAATAAAGTGACTAGTTTGTCTGGACTACAAACTCCACTTAAGGATTTATATTTTGCATATAAAAGAAATGTTCGCCACAAAAGCGCATTAACAGGTCGATTGGAAATATCCAATAGTGGTTTAAAAGTTAGATACAGAGGAGAGAAAGGAGACTTAGAACAACTCAATCCATTCCCAACGATAGCTGTTTGGTCTGCAGTGAAATTCGTGGTACAGCCATCAGAAGATGATGATAATGATTTATGTTACGCATTTGTACCTCTTATTACTGATCCTGATAATATAGATCGCCATGCATTGTTTAGAACTTTGGAATCAACTGATAAGAAATACATCCTCTCCCACAACGAAAATTCGCACTCACCCCTTTTCGCTGTAGTGATGAGGAAAATTGGGGTCGCCAAGCAGCTGGAGTGTCATGGGTTTGTATGTCAAACGACAGAGGACGCTATTGTAATAGCGGCCACGTTATACAAATCTCTTATGTCACATATGAGTCGGCAAGGACATACTGATAAAAAAAAGTTAAAAAATCGAAACGGTGTTAGTTGTATAAGTGTTGCCAGTAGTTTACCTGCGCATGAAAGGCCGGTACGACCACCACGTAAAAAACGGAGTACATCATCGTTAAGTGGAGATAGTGACAGGGCTGACGGTTTTTCAGCAAATGGGTCATTTAATGAGAAACCAAAATTAGAACGGAACGCAATTTCTACAGAGAACTTATCTATAGCTACTCCATCTGTGCATGCAATTGAATCAAAACGGATAACGGTAGAAGAAGTGAAAGCTAAATTAGATTCAATTAAACATGATACTAGCGGAAGTGATACTCATGAACTACATAGACCTTTGGTAAAAGATATTATTAATTCTATCCAAGATCAATGTCTGCAAAAACCACAAAGCAGTACTGAATCTTCAGTAAGAAGTAAGGTGTCGGAAAAGATTGAATTATTTAGAGAATTAGAGAGACGAAAAAGTATACAGAGGCCACCAAATGTACCTCCTCCTATACCTTTAAAACCACAACAACCTCCACCAGATCCTCCTAAAGAAACTTTAAGAAGAACACAGAGTGGAAGAAAATCTTTAAGTGAATCTGGAGATATTTTGACAAAAATTGCCATACCGCGTTCGGGTAGTTTTCTAAATGCTGGTGGTCTTACTCGATACAAGTCTATAGGACATAGGTACGTATTTAATTGTTTCCTGTTTGCGCTTTATGCAAAAATTCTTACCAGTGATCCCATTGACCGTTTAGAGGCGGTGTAAGAATATCCATTTACCCCATATCAACCTGTAGGTGTAGTAAGAGGTAACAGAGAGAGAAAATAAACCAGGAGATGGACGGTAGCGCCTTCCTCATAATAACAACTAAAAAAACCTCGTATGCCAACCCCGCTTGCCAAGCATGTTAATTATCACAAATACCCACCCTATGAGGCAACCTATGGGGGAGGCCTATGTTCAGCAGTGGACTTCTAATAGGCGGTAACGGTAACGATTCCATTGGGTTAAAATCACCTAATATATCCTCACGAGTATATACCCGACTAATATATAACCCTCTCAGAAATGAGAGGAGGCCTGTGCCCAGCAGTAGAATGTATATAGGCAGCAACTATAACTATTTAAGTAATATATGAAAAATCTTTAGTAGCCTCTGTTACAAAACTTTGGTTCTCGTTTTGCAGTATTTAAAAATTAACAAAAAAAGCGAAAGTTAGTTTATATTAAATATTTTTAAGGGACAATAGCAAAATAACAATATTTGAAGTGATATAGGGTTTATTAATTTTCCACTTGATCAACAAAAGATTGTTGATCAAGTGGAACTCAGTTACTGGAGTTTAGTTATTTATAGTATTTAAGAAAATACTATAAATAACGAAATATCAAGAACGAATAAAGCACGCTTAACCAAGTGTTTCGACATATTGCATGCTAGTAATTGTGCCAATGCAACCGCATCCGCTACATTCCTATGATCCAACATGTCTTATTTTTTGTCTAATGTTATAATTACCTATTTGTATATTTATTTAAAACTATTAGTATCAAGGAATTTAAGATGATTTTTTGCATTACAGAAATAACGGAAAAAAAGGAGGTGGCTCACCATTAGGATTTAACGAACTGTTTAACGAATTCAAGGTACAGGAAAATTTACATTCGATGGATGAAATATTAAATGCCATAATTGATCCAGAAGGAATGTCTTTTAATGACTTGAAACCGATTTATAAAGAATTTTTATTAAAATTAGCTGTGACATTAACGAAAGATGAAATATTTCAACACAGTAAAGCTATTATGAAAAAGCAAAAGAAAAAAAATTTGAGAAGGAGTAACACTTTCCAAAACAAGAGACGGAAAATTTTTAAAAGTGCAAACGGGTTGAAGATGGTTTTTAGGTTACCTTTCGGTAAAGACGATCGAAAAAAAGAAATTAAAAAGCAAGTTAGTTCAATAGATTTCACTGCAGGTAATAAGGAACCAGTGTCCGAAAGTTCGGTTTCGACGTCCAGTTATGATTTGAGGCAGTTTCGACCGAAGGAGCCACCATCGATGCCACCACCGAAAAGACAAACAACGAGACAGAGGAAACGATCAGATAAAGTAGTTCATGTTTCCAAGCGAAATGGAAAAGTATCAAGACAGGGAGAAAGAACATCAACCTCGGAAGATTCTGATTTTTTAACACTCAGTAATCGACTTGGCTGCCAAAACCGAAATAGTTCAAGTGGCTATGTATCTTGTTCGGAATGTGAGTCGGAGAGTTGCGTAGATCGTTGCTATTGCTCTTTAAAACGAGATTGTAAATCAAAATGTTACTGCTCTGCGGTTGAAACTAGTAAAGATTTTCCTAAAGCGAGGCTCTCAAGTAAAAGCTGTAAAGATTGTACCAAGTAAGTTAATGTTTTATTTGATCGTAATCTGCCATGATAATAAGAATCAGTCCAATTCCAAGGATTCTATAATGAACCGGTATCCCATATTGAGATAAAAAAGATTACCCTAAAATTGATTTCTCGACCTTAAATCGACATGCTTGGCATAATCTTTATATATAAAAATTACGTGTCACATTGTTTGTCCGCGATGAACTCCTAAACTACTAAACTGATTACATTTTGACGGCTCCGTGGCGCAGTGGCTTAGCAATCAGTTGTTGCGCTGGGGGCCGCGGGTTCGAATCCCGCACGGAACAAGTATTTGTATGGCCTACAAATAATTGTTCAGGGTCTGGATGTTTGTCCTTGTGCAATTTATGTTTGTAAACTGCCTCCACGACACAGGAGAAAATCCTAGTGTGGGAGTAACGTTTTTTTCTTTTTAAAATGAAATTTTGTGCACTGTGCAGTTTGGTCCAACTTGAGAGATAGGATAGTTTTATCCCGATAAGTGACACTCAATTTTTTTTATTGTGAATTTAATGATTTTTTTGGGACAAGTGGTCGTCGAAAAGGGCAGAACAACGTCTGACTGGTCAGCTAGTATATATATAAAAATTACGTGTCACGTTGTTTGTCCGCGATGAATTCCTAAACTACTGAACTGATTTCAATGAAATTTTGCACACTGTGTGTAGTTTGGTTCAACTTGAGAGATAGGATAGTTTTTATCTTGATAAGTGACACTCAATATTTTTTATTACGAATTTAAGGATTTTTTATATGAATGGTCGTCGAAAAGGGCAGAACAACGTCTGCCTGGCCTGCTAGTAAATTATAATTTTAAGGACATTATCGAATTCAACTAACAAAGATGGAATTTATTTTCAAGAGTTCTGTCTTTTTTTAATACTTATTGTGGTTTTTAAAACTTATTAGTCTAAAATAACTACACATTCCTCTACTTTCATCCGTCTGAGTTTAACAATAAATTTAATTCTAGCGAAGCTGCGTCTTAGCGAAAGAGATTGTGTGGATTTAATTACAATTACTGAATTGTTAGCAGTTTCTGCAATGGAATTTGTACCTTGTTTATTTTAGATTTATGGTTCTTAATATCTATATGAATAATAGCCACATGTAGAAATGAAATGTGTATGGTGATTATCAGAGCGTGGAACGTCCATAGCTCACATCGCCTTATGAGTAACTGAACCGAATTATAATTATTTACAGTTGACTATGAATTAATAATTTCACTAGTTTTGCTATCCTCATTACTGTTGTAATATTTTGATGGGTTATAATTATTTACAAAACTTTCCCCGTCTACTAACATTATTGTTCTTAAATTAACATTTATTTGTTTATGTTCGTGTTTAGTGATACATTTATATTCAAATTAAATTCGCGATTACTCGAAGATTTCAATAACGTTTACGTAATATTTAAGTTAGTATTTGTTTAAGCAAATAATCAAATAATCATTTTAAAAGAAAATTTGTCAAGGAATGTTGAAAAGGCCAAGATACTTGATCTATATACTGTGTATGATCCTAGAGCTCCCCCATTGACTGCTATGTTACTTTGATCGATATTATAAGAATATCCTTGAGATCAGCCATCTGAACAGGACAAGATTATAGCGCACGATTGTGTGCGCAAGCTCAGGTACACCTTTTGTTCCCTTACACTCATAGTCTTGTGGGACAGCAATCACCCCTGACTGGAGAAAGATCAGGCGCACGACCAACGTCTTTACGTGCTTTTATAGGCAGCAGTGCAAAACGCTGCCAAATTCCTGACTATTGTCTGCTACTGAGAATTTTTTAATAGAAGCAGAGCAAAGAATACGAATGATGGAAAACCTCAATAACTAATTTTAGGTTTCAAACCACATGATCAGCAGTCGCGCTTACGGCCACTGAGCCAACGAGACCGTCGACGAAGTAGATTGTTATACGAAGAATTATCATTAACATTAATAAGTTGTAAAAATAGGTTTAGTTAAAAAGTTAAGAGAAGTGTTCGCTACTGTAGATTATAAATAAGCTTATCTGGATCAATATATGGATGGAAGATTAGTAGCGAATTTTTATAATATAATATAATTCAGCCGAAAACATAAAAATTCATTTAGTATGAAAGACAAAAGGTTTCATATTAAAAGTTATTATTATTATTTGGAGCTTAATATTATTAGAAGTAGATGGATGCAGGTAGGCAGGACCGTGTTTTGTGGCATTGCTTGTATTTTGTGGTATATGTTAAGCAGTGAAGGCTGTAATGATGATGATGATGATGATAATGATTATAAAGTCAATATATGGTAAAATGTTCGTGTCATTTCATTTAATAGATAGACTAATCATAATAACATTACTATATTTCAGAGAGGTATACGACGCTGATTACAGCTACTGTTCCTGTGATTCTGAGAGTTGTGCTGATAGCAACAAATGCTATTGCACTAGCCCTCGTCGTGCTGCAATGAAGAGTTCTCAAAGTTTAGAGTACTTAAGAAGTCCATCGCAACGGACGTACTCAGATCGAATGAAACGCGCCTTTGATAACTCCGATTCAAAGTTGATGAGGCCTAGGTAAGTTTACGACAAAACAATTTTTATCTAATTATTTTAATCTTAAACATGTTTACTACGGAACATTCACAATCGTCTTGATGTAGTTCTAAAAGCATATGGCACGAAAAATTTCGTATTTGAATTAGTTTTTTGACTCAGCGGTAGTCATAGTGAAATTCATAAAACTGATTCAGTAGTATTCAGTGAGTAGACAGACAGATAGGTTTTTGATACACATAGCGGTATAACTGTATTGTATAACTTAATATTTTATCAGCATTTTCGAATCCATTGTTAGATAGAAGAGGGAATAAACAAGCATGCGCCTCTCCTGACGGTAAGTGGCTACTGTCAACCATGAACTACTACAATACCCGGGGAAGTGCAGGTGCGATTTCATGAATGCACCAACTGGTATCTGTAACTTGAAAGATTTGCTTATACTCACCACGCTGAATGGACAAGCGCAGAATTATGTCAAAATATTATATGGCTGGATGTTCTTCCTTCAGTCGGTCGTTAAAGTCTCGTCCTTTAGAAGTGCTGCGTGCAGTTTCACATATCCTCTAATCCACTTGAATTTAATTGCTAAATAAAAATAGAAAACAACGCCTATTTCAGATCAAGCTCCGTACTGAGTAGACGTCGTGAGGATCGCAGTAGACGAGCTCGCAGTTCCGACAATCTCGCGCTGGACTACGAGTTACTTCTGCAGAACAAGACCCGCGATACCAGGCCACGCAACATGCAGAGACTTACCGGTTAGTGAATCCAATGTTATATAACCATAATTACACAAATTCAAGTTGTTTTAACAACAAGCTCGAGTTCAGCTAATTAGAATTTATAGTAATATGTTGCTTATAGGAAAAGGTTAAAAATAAGTAATATAAACAGTAAGTAATATTAACGATATTTAGTAGGTAAGATCCGTCCAGTTTTTTTCATTTTTTCGCTAAGGTACTTCATTAAATAATTCAAATATTTGACCATTTTTTTTTGTAATAAAATGTGGATCTTTATTAGTGTTTTGTATACTCGTATTAGCAGTATAAGAAAATGTTTATTATAAAAAAGAGATAAAAGTTAAAGTATTTATAAGGAGCGATTTGTTTAAAATTGCAATTAAAAAGTTTTCGATTTTTTAATCTCATTGTTTATGTGATAATCATCAAAAATCTTTTATTTCATTTTTTTTGGACATATTATCTATAATAATATGATTTTAAATGAACATGGACAAAACGATAAAGGTCATGTGTAACGTCCATTTGAGAACAATGTCAGTAGTTGTTGGAAGAACTACACTCGAAATGGTTCACGATTATATTTACCTTGAATAAATTGTTCGACTACGATCAATGAATTTTTGCGGCTGTACAACGTCAGCAGCGTTTAGGAAATTAGGACACATCTCGTCACGTAGATATACCTCAAAACTTTAAAACAGAAGAATAGTACCATAGCGTGTTGCTAGTGATTACACAGGGATCTGAAACGTGGTGCTTCACTGCTAGCTGTATCAGTAGACATTCAGGGAGAGGGCTACACTTGAATGTTCTCTGCGTGATAGACTTTGTTAAGATGATATTCGCAGTAGAACCAGAGTAACCGACGTAGCGCAACGGATCAGTAAGCTGAAGTGACAATAAGCCGATCCTATAACTCGAAAACCGGTACTGGAAGTCCTTCAGAGGCTCGTTAATTCCGTTCTCCATGGTGGCATTACACCGGAAACGTGGAGCAGAAGTGCGGTGGTCTTGTTCTTCAAGAAAGGTGACAATGCTCTCTTGAAGAACTACAGACCGATTTCCCTTCAGAGCTGCGTCTACTTGCTGTTTTCGAAAGTCATTACGAATCGTCTCGCACGCAGACTTGACGACTTCCACCCTCCCGAACAAGCCGGTTTCCGAAAGGGCATTAGCACCATAGACCACATACATACCCTTCGGCAAGTTGTACAGAAGTCCGAGGAGTACAATTTGCCACTATGCCTGGCGTATGTGGACTATGAGAAAGCCTTTGATTCCGTCGAAATTTGGGCGGTGCTGCAGTCCTTTCAGCGGTGCCAAGTTGACTGTCGGTATATCGAAGTGCTGAAGTGCTTGTACAGTATAGCTACGATGGCTATCCGAGTACAGAATCAGAGTACGAAACCTATCCAATTGCAGAGAGGTGTAAGACAGGGTGGAATTGGAAGACAATTTCAAGCTTCTGGACTGGAAAGGATACGGTATTAACATCAATGGCGAGTACATCACTCACCTTCGATTTGCCGACGATATAGTCCTTATGGTAGAATCGCTGGAGGACCTAAGCATTATGCTCAATGACCTCAATAGTGTCTCCCAACGGATAGGTCTTAAGATGAACATGGACAAAACAAAGATTATGTTTAATGTCCATGTCACACCTATGCCGGTAGTTATTGGGAGTACTAAGCTCGAAGTTGTTGACGAGTATGTTTACCTGGAACAAATAGTTCAACTAGGTAAGTACAACTTCTACCGAGAGGTCAATCGACGGATTCAACTCGGCTGGGCAGCGTTCGGGAAGCTACGACATATCTTCTCGTCAGACATACCTCAAAACCTTAAAACGAAATTGTACAACCAGTGCGTATTCCCAGTGATGACTTACGGATCAGAGACGTGGTCCTTCACTGCTGGTCGTATGAGGAAGCTCAAGGTCGCTCAGCGAGCTATGGAGAGGGCTATGCTCGGAGTTTCTCTGCGTGATAAACTTAGGAATGAGGATATCCGCAGTAGAACCAGAGTAACCGACATAGCCCAACGGATTAGTAAGCTGAAGTGGCAGTGGGCTGGCCATATAGCTTGAAGAACCGACAATCGATGGGGAAGAAAGGTTCTTGAGTGGCAGCCTCGTACTGGTAGGCGAAGTGTAGGGCGACACCCCACGAGATGGAGTGACGACCTGGTAAGACATGCAGGAAGTCGATGGATGCGGATAGCTCAGGACCGTGCTTTGTGGTATTCCTTATGGGAGGTCTATGTTCAGCAGTGGACTTATGAAAGGCTGTAATGATGAATGATGATGATGATGATAACTCGAAGAAACAATAACCGTTGGGGAAGAAAGGTTTTCGAGTGACAGCCTCGTGCCAGTAAGCGAGTAAGTGTAAGAGAAATGGAAGTCAGTGAATGTATAGGTAGCTCGAGACTGTGCTTTGTGACATACCTTAAGGAGGCCTGTGTTCAGCGGTGGACTTGTGATCCGCTGTAATGATGATGATACGAGTAGTAACAAAACTAGTATACATTTATATCTGAATAGTCCTTTTCACTTAGTTATTTTCGAATCGCATCTCGGAATGATTTTCTACCGACTTCAAAAAGGAGACGGTACTCAATTCGACTGTATGTTTTTTTATGTGTGTTACCTCATAACATTTTACTGGGTGAATCGATTTCGATTATTCTTTTTTAATTGAAAGCTGGTACTTCACATGTAGTTTCATGTAAATTTGATCAAGGTCTGACCAATAGTTTTTGAGTTATTCTTAATAATTTATATTGAAGTAGGTTTTACAAAATTTTTAATTTTAATTATATTTTTATTTCATTTTACATTACACTTTACGTCAGATATGTAAATCCGCGAAGATAGGTGTTATCTTTAAAGCAATGCTGCTGTACTTTAGTGCTATCTATTATTCAGCTCTTAAACTTTATCCGACTCCACACAAACAACTTTTCATTTATTGTTATTTTTTGTGATGTCTTCATCATGTTTTGTAAAGTTTGTCTTAAACTTCTTTTTATATACTACGATCACGTTCTTTTTATATACTATGGCTTATATGAACAAAACCAAAAAGTAAATTGTTTGTGATAATAGTTATAAAATATCATGGACTTATCTAAAATTGAAATAACACTAACACATAGCTATTAATTAAAATTAATGATTTTGCATTAATTCTTATTACAATTAAAAAACATAATAAAACACTTAGTTACTATTATTTTGTTTCAGTTAGAAGTACTGGCGCAGGTTCCCACGACGCGCTAAGTGTCAAAAAATCAGCAGAAATGGCGGCACTTTTCGCAGACGTCCGTCTTTCCCAAAGAACTGACGTACGTGCTTTGTCAGGAGGTTGCAGGTCTCGACCTCCGCTACTACCACCTTCTCCACCCAGGCCTGCGCCTCAATTAGCTCGGATGTTCGACCACCGGCCTTTAAGCAGAAACGCTAGTCTTGAAGACACTTTGGGATATTTACCATAAGACATAATAAGGTCTATATTAAATGGAATTACGAAATGTTAATACTAAAATATCTAATTTATTCATAGATATCAGAAAATTTAATTAAATTGAACTGAAACTTTTAATTTGCTAGGAATCAGCCACCAGTTAATTTTAATTTGGATTTATTATTTTTACATTATTGTTGAACATAGGCCTTCTAAAAGGTCGTCACTTTATCTAGTAGTTGGCTTATGTTCAGTATTGAACCTGTGATGGACTGTAATGATGACGAAGATTATTATATGATTACAAACAAATATAATAGAAATGAATAACTCTACGAACGACTTCGAATTAATAGTTAAAACTGAGATACTATATCAGCCAGCATCCAAGAGAAACCTGCGCTCTTTTTGTATGCTGATGATATTGCGTTGGCAGAAAGGGGCAAAGATATAATGCAGGAAAAGGTAAACACTTAGAACAACTGTCTGAAACTTAACTTGTCGAAAGCGTAGTACGTGGCATATAATAGTGTAGACTGCATCCGCACAAGGTGTGACATCGTGACCAATGCGAAACAGTTTAGGTAAATATCGAGAGTCTGAATCACACGCATTCGAAAAAACTGATGACGATATTCAAGACCGAATTTCAATAGTTTGAGCTAAATAGGAAAGGGTAACGGGAGAAATTTTTATCCCTGAAGTGCCTGTTAACCTAAATGACCTGGTGTATAAAGACAAAGTTAACCCAGCGTTTGTGTATGGCAGCGTCACGTAGTCAATGATGTCGATGCGCAATAGGATAGGATATTTTTACGTTACCAAAATGAAGATGTTACACTAGATGTATGGATTTATGAGGATGTATTATATCCGTAATGAATATATATCTGCGGTGGTCTTATAATAGTTTGGCCATGTCTTGAAGACACTGCGAAAGGCCCAAATACTTACGTATATGCAAGCTAATAGAATATCTAAATAGAATGCTCGAGACAGGGAAAGCAGACCATGATTGAAGCCGGGATAAACGTTGGGACGAAGAAAAAGACTAATAAAGATAATAGAATTTTCCATTTAACCCAAAAAAGGATGACTAAAAAGTAGGATGAGAAATCGATGTATTTTCCACAGATATACTAATTGCTATAAATATGAAATCGCAAATTTCTTCGCAGAGATCCTGAATAGATTGTAAATTTTTCGATAAAAGACGCTTCTCGAATTCTCACGATTTCTGTTGCACGTTTTCAATTTCACGAAAAAGTTCAGAAAATTCTCCAAAGGTTCTTTTTTTAATGCGAAACTTCACTATGAATCTAACAGGCGAAAGATTTTACCCTAAAACCATGAGGTCCATCTTGCGTGTAATTCGACAGAAGACATTAATCCTTTTCTTGCAGTTGTAACTAAGAGTTGTAAGAATTGTTTTTCAATAAATGCTGTAGCAATACTGCTTTTCTTGAAAGTTTACGTGTAAACGAGACGTAGCACATGATTGACTGCCTTAACAGTAGGAATGATATCAGTGCCAGTGAAAGTTGTAAGTTTGTTGTAGTTTGTTGTAAATTCTACTTAAAAATTGGTTAAATAAAGCCATAAAACTGGCACTAATGGAAATTGGTATGATATTAATGACAATGTTAAAGGTTGTAAATGTAAACAATGATCCTCGCAATTAATAGAATCAGGCGTTACTTTGCGGAAGTCCATTATATCAAAGTTGGTAAAAAATTAGTTCGCGTACATCCGGTCGATAAAATAAAATTATGTCTCTTACCTAGTTTGAAGAGCACCTCCTGCCCTCCCTCAATTTCGTGCACTATCACCGTCACCACTAATCCCATCACCACTACACTAGGAAAGACACATCACTGACGACAATAGGACACGTGTTTTGCTTCTACACGAGGCATCTTCAGGTGATCTAGACTCTGCGGTTGCTAACCGCTAAGTGAGCTGCAAGCCAAAACAACTCCTATTTATACAGACCGCTGACGCAACCGCTCCCTATTTAAGAAACGAGAGACTGCGTCATGCGATAAAACATACGACCAATCACCTTTGGACTTACGCAGCCGTTTGTAAAATTAAAAACAAACCGCCGCGCAACGCCCGCCTAACCTCCAACCACCCAACCAATCACCGATCACCGTGAGGGTGACAAACGGCCATATTGCGAGGCTGTCTGTTATTAGAGAGCAGGCTTAAAGATATTCAAGAGAGGTGAGTTATCATCCATCCGTCGTGTCATCCGTGGCAACATAAAGTAGCCGCTTTTTATTGTTACATTAATGGTTTGTTCACTGTCCCAATACGTAAAGGAAATCATTTAAAAGAGCTAAATATAATTTATCAAACAGCTGTCTCTAACAGTTTTTGAAAAATCTCATTAACAATTTAATTAAAAAGAAACAAAAGCACGTTGTTCGCAACCCTCTTTACGCGGTTCAACCTCAAAGTGTTCATCGATGTGTGAGCAGTTTGACCTGCTTAGGACCCACATCTGAAAAAGTAGCTTCTTCGACAAAATGGCGTTTATGTGGCATTCAAAACAAAACAATTCTCTTAGAAATATCTGTAATAATAAAGATAAGTTAGATATTCGTCAAAAGACGGGTGTTTAGATACTTGTTTGTGAGGAATGCCACGCCGTTTACGTGGATCAGACTGGTCGCAATTTCGAAACACGTTATAAAGAACATTTAGCCGCGTACAGGAATTACAATCCCGATAAGTCCCATTTTGCTAAACATCTTTTGGACACTGGACACAACCTAGCCAACGACCACTCCTTTAAAGTCTTACATACGTGTAATAAAGGGCTGCGACTGTGTGTACTGGAACAGTTAGAGATATTAAAAAGAAATAATAGTAACGTTGCACTGCTGAATGAACAAACAAATGTTTCTAACTCATCTCTCTTGAATATCTTTAAGCCTGCTCTCTAATAACAGACAGCCTCGCAATATGGCCGTTTGTCACCCTCACGGTGATCGGTGATTGGTTGCGTGGTTGGAGGTTAGGCGGGCGTTGCGCGGCGGTTTGGTTTTCATTTTACAAACGGCTGCGTAAGTCCAGAGGTGATTGGTCGTATGTTTTATCGCATGATGTAGTCGCTCGCTTCTTAAATAGGGAGCGGTTGCGTGAGCGGTCTGTATAAATAGGAGTTGTTTTGGCTTGCAGCTCACTTAGCGGTCAGCCACCGCAGAGTCTAGATCACCTAAAGATGCCTCGTGTAGAGACGAAACACGTGTCCTATTGTCGTCAGTGATGTGTCTTTCCTAGTGTAGTGGTGCTGAGATTAGTGGTGACGGGGATAGTGCACGCAATTGAGGGAGGGCCAGAGGTTCTCTTCAAACTAGGTAAGACATCATTTTATTTTATCGAGCGGATGTACGCGAACTAATTTTTTACCAACTTGAATGATCCTTGTTCTCAAAAAGCATAACAAATTAATATCTTTTTAGGCAGAATTGCACTAATAATCTAAAATACACACATACATTTGATAGAAAGTTTTCGATCGATATAATTGGTTAATCTTTAGAGTTTCTTAAAAGGTACCGTCTCAAATTGTAAACGTTAATGTAAGGTTGCTATGGTTCAATTCTCCAGACTCGAGGTTAATTCGGTGTAGCAAGTTAATTCGGTTCTTGATTGTTTCGATCTAATAGGCATTAATTGATCTGGAATTTCACTGTTTGTTCCATATTATGTCGTAACGTTACATTTTAAACTTGTTGCTCATTTTGTCAATATTTATTTATGTAATATTGATTTCCATTTAGCATAAGCCTTCTTCGAATTATAAGATTTTTGTGCATTTTTCATACGATACCAAACAGAACCAGGTTTGAAAGGATCGCATTAAAATTAGAACTATACGGTTAATACTTTGAATATTAGAAAATAATTGTGTTTTAGTTCCGATTTCTCAACTGATAATTTAGTAAAACTGCGTAAGAGAAAAACGAAACGAAAATCTTAACTATCAAATATCAAAACTTGCCAATCTTCACCACCAACTCCTAAATAATCTACGGTAAATTACGCCAGTACCTACTACCTTTTTGTATCTCAAACGTATACCACCTTATTATTATAAAATAAGGATTTCAATTAGGTATATAGATAACTTTTAAATTATTAATCTATGTATGTAGTTATTTATTTATGAAAAATAACCTTTATACATAGGTGCAATATATCGAGTCAAGTATTCAATAATTGCGACTAATACTTGAATTTTATTTATTTCTTTGTTAATCGATTACGAAACGGTTCTTAAACTGCAAGTTTTTACATTACGAACAAATTATTAAAATTTAATTAATAAAGAACCCTTACAATTCTACTAGAAAAATGAAACGTTTTGAAATTAATTTATTTTAATATATGAAAAAAAAACACAGGCAGCCATAAGGACTGCCATCAGAAATGCAAATTCAATGATATATTCGTATACATATACAGGGACCACTATAGCGATGCGACGCGTATTACATGTGTTAGTGATGTATTGCGCTTGTGCGCAAAACGTGACGAGCATGTCGAGGTCATTGGTGACGCGAGCCTATGAGTTTTTCCCCTATCAAAAATCGCTCAACGCAACTAAAAAAATTTACACTTCAATAAGAAGTTTAGGAATTGAAAAGGATATCACGTTAGGTTTCCTTAAGGCTTATATATTATCTGTGCAAATGAGTACATCCAAAATACGCAGATAACACCTAATGAACAGTGAAAATAAAAACTATAAATTACGAATCTATATAGAAAATGTCGGTTGTAAGATCGTTTCGTAATTTAATCAGTGTTTTCATCAGTATCTTTAAATTATAATTTAACTTTAGGCTACTAGATTATAACTCACTTGTATTATTAAATGTGCAATATTTTAATTATTTGCCTCACTAGATAACTGAAAGTTTCTTATAGCGTGCAATAATATAATAATTAAGTGTAAATAGTTGTCTAATGGTGTAAAATAAATTATATACAATGTTTTGTGGTTTAATTTCTTTTTTT